GAGAGAGCTTCTCTGGTCCCAGAAAGGTGAGAATGCCCCTGTGGCCCCAGGAGCACTAGAAACAGCAGGTATGCTCCACCCAGCCACCTCTTTTGTCTGCCCCAAAAGCTGCAAGCTCTGAAAGCCCACCCAGAGAAGCAATGCTAGGCTGAGGCGGCTCTCCTGCCCACACAGCAGGGCATTCTCCAGATCTCATCACTGCTTCCCATCGGGCTTCTCATTCAGAGGGGGTAGTATTGGAAACTCAACTCGTGTGTCACAGCAAGAGGCTCTCTAAAGAGAAGATTTAAATCTCCAGCTGGGCTTAGTTTTCCTGTGTTCTGGCATCAGTAATTGGGTTAGGGTCCATGACAATCCAGAAGCCAAGAATCAACGAGGAAACTGAACAGAAGGAGTTCTCCATAGGCCAACATTTCACATCTGCTTGCTGTCATGCAGCAGGATGCATGGGGGTGGACTGATCATCAGAGGTCCTGACATCCATGGAAAGCCTTTTGGAGCTGTGTTCAGCATCTCCAGCAGCCAACTAACCACTCTGAAACTATGCCACAGACAGCTGGAGCCAGATCTCACAACCCCTCTTCATACAGGGAACCCTTCTCCATTGGACTACTGGGTTGTGTGGACTCTGCATTCAAAGCTACGTGGGGTGGACCGGGTCACAGTACACGGCACTTTGGAAACATTTAGGATAGACTCAGTGGGAGCTGAGCGCTCCCAGCACCTTCCAGACTCAAGCTGAGAAAGCCCGAGGCTAAAATGCAAGAGGAAAATAAAGTCATCAACCAGCAGGGATTTCAGAATGGCAGCTCCGGATTAGTTTGAGTGCTGCCTGAGAGAGGAACAGAGAGGTTTCACAGACCAAAGCACACGCCAACCAATGAAACAAAAGACCCTCTTACCCATATTCCCACTGCTATGTTTAAGGCAAAATAAACCGCGATGACAATTATGTCCGCCACGCTGAACTGCTGCAGAGGGAGGAAGGATCCAGCCGTGGAATTGCTCTCCATCCTCCTCCACTCCCAGCCCGGCCCCAAGCAAGAGCCACAGCATCCAACGGACAATAACCGACTTAGTAACTCATTAGCAGTTGGTGGGAATTGATCATTAAACCAGGCAGAGATGTGATTTCCACTCTGAAGATGCTTGTGTGGACAGATTGGCAGTCAAAGTGCAGCCTGGCGTCCATCTCCCACCCCCTTCCTCCTAGCGTATGGCTGCTCAGGGACCCGCAGCAAAGTCCAGTAAATTAGGCAGCTGCTGAGTCGTAAACATACCATTTCTGGCTGCCTGCAAACAACAGAAGGTAAAGGGACTCCACATATGCTCACGTTTGAATGCGGATGCTCCTATGTAATAATCCTGGAGACACATTCCTCAAGTATCGAGCCAAGGATTCCTCCTTTAAACAGGCTGTAGGCTACTCGAGGCATGGTCGTCCTCTCCTTCACTCCTTGCAGAAGGAAGAAGGCTCATAAATGGGCGAAGGAGGTATTGCAAGCACCAATGACCTGAAACTAAAGCAGAAGTTTGGATTAAATCAGTGGCACTCATACCATTGTATTTAGATTCTCCATTGCCCAGAGTCCATCTCATTGATGTACAGAACAAGACATTACAGGATTCTATAGGTGCCCATGAGCTTCCTTTCCCCCGGAGAGCTATACAACGATAACGTTTGAGAAGTAGCTTAAGGCAGAAGCTTCCAAACTATAGGAACAATTTAACATCAGATCAAGGGTTTTACTGAGAAACATTTATGAAGAGATGAGACTGTTCCCTCAAGACTATGGGGGCACGTTAAGGGAGCCCTTGAACAGCTGTAGTCTTTAATAGACTGTAGGTGTGGAAAAGCAACGCCCCCATGGACATTATGGTTTAAAAGTGTTGGCCTGGGTTCTTGGACCACGTGTTTCTTTCTAGCCGGACATCCTGTGGTTGAAAGATTTACCATGAAAGTGATTTTTATATCACAAAAAGCTGAAGGAAAGCAAGCAGCAGCAACCACCAAGATAACTTCTCTTCGCCCACAACACCCTGGCATTGGGCCATGACAGGGAAATAAAAGCTGACATACATGGTTCTTACTACTCGTGTTGAAAGGGACAAGGCCCTGAAATCAGCTTTTTGATCTAGAAAAGGGGTGGGCAACTTGTTGCATGCATGCCTCAAGTAGCATAGGCAGCCTACGCGTGTGGCAGATCAGGAAAGGGGAAGAGAGCGAGAGATACAGTACAGAGTGGAAAGGGGAGCAGCAGATCAGTTCAGAAGCAGAGGGCAGGAAGCAGAAAGTAGAGCAGTGAATCAGGGAAGGGAAGGAGATTGGAGTAGCACTTGAGGAAGGTGCAGGGCTAACTTGGGGCATGCCTGCCAAAAAGGTTGATCACCACTGATCTAGGAGGTCAAAGGGCTGCTTGAACCTAGCAGCCCACCAGCCTCGCAGGACTAGGGCAAGCTGGTTTCTGTGGGCAAAAGCACACAAGGAATATCATGTGCAGTCACCAAGTGGCCAGGTACCCACGGACAGCCGAGTTGGCTGAGAGCAGCCTTCCTATATGCCTAGTGAGACTCAAATTCATAGCTGTAGCGAGCAGCTGTATGGTGCTCTCTTCCCTCTGCAACAGGACTCTTCTACTTAGCTGTGACCATAAAACCACAGAGGGCCAAAACAGAGCCCATAGGCCTGACACAGAGACAGCACTAACACCCAGCCAAAAACCACCTTCAACTCTAGCATGGAAGAGCAGCAGAAAACCCCAGCAGCCTGCATCTTAGTTCATCTGTTTTCTGAGCAGCCTGAAGGTATCTCCATGCCTGCCTCTCTTCTCTGCTCCAGCTGGTCTTTCAATGAGGCAAGGCTACAAATGCCGCTCTGTTAAAGAACCAGGCTCCTTGAGCCTCACATGTGGGTACAATATTCTTCACTTCCTGCCAGAAATTACCAAGTATAACCTTGCCATACACCTTATTCACAGTGGGTAGTTTGCTCGACATTAAAATATTATCACTGCTGGTTTGTGAAGCCCCTTGACATCCTCAAAGCACCTGAGTAAAGGGAAAACAGAGTGAGACATGGCATTTGCTTTCAGTGCATCTGATACCAAGTGTCAGTCAAATTACACTTTGCTTAGCTAAGTGATGCCCTTTTATTTAAAAAGGAGGTGGCATACAATCGTCACTGCATAAGGGCTGCACTGCTATAATGACCGTAAGTGACTTGAATAGATTTGCAGTACATCTTTCTAATATCTTGATACAGCTCTGGATACTCTCACATCAGCAAATGCCGAGTGCTTTTGACCTTAAATTCTAAGTCCTCGAGCCCGCTGACCTATTACAGTTTAACCTAGATTTTTCTTGGAGCCCTATGATGTTAATATGTCATCTTAGTGTATCTAGTAACACCACTTGATTGTTTAATAACCTACCAGCGTTAAAGTATAACCAAGGCAAGCGTACTGTATTTCAACATTTACCACATGTAGCACGTGTATTTCTGGAGAGGAAACACCAGAAATCAACTTTAGGGATAAGATAACAGCCTTATGAAAGCAAAACTTCCTGGGATTATCAGAAAGGACAATAATGTTTGAGTTGACACTAGGGGATTGTTTTGTTTTGTTAAGCAAGCAGATAGCTCCTCAACAACTCAGATAGCAACGGATTGACTGTTGGCAAATGGAGGAGCCATCCTGCAGCCAAGCAAAAGCTTGTTCATGCCCTTGGATGATAGAAAGGCGTTTCTCACTTCGTTTTCCTTTGTTAATGTTGCCAAAGGTTGTTAATCACTTCTATTTTTGCCAGTGCCAAAAGGACTGACAGTCATTGGCAGGCATTTGAAATTAGGAACTGACCCAAAACACCCCGAATTCAAATGCCAAATAGTCTTTCTGTAACGGAGCAGAACAAAACTCTAAATCCTAAAAACACACAACTTGGGAGCTCAAACTCCAAATCCAGAGTTTAGCACAAGGCAGGACATGTTTCAGATCAGTCTATCATAGCACCACCTATTATTTTTGCACAATACTTCCTAGATAGAAGATGGCCCTGTTGCCAGCTTGATTGTAACATTTGAGCTGAAGTGCCCCCCAGCATGCGTGCGCCAGCTTCAAGCTGAAGATTTTGGGCAGAAGGAAGGAGGACACAGAGGCTGAGGTTCAGCGTTTCTACAAGCGCTAAAAATACTGAGGCCTTTTCTGAGAGAAGCCCTCTGCTTTGGAATAGGAACTTGAAATTCAGCATGGAGCAAACGGGCTGTGCATCAGAGATGTGCCTTTTACCATCGCACATTCAACCCAAGTTCTGAATCCTTGGGGAAAAAAAAAAAGTTACCGAACCTAGACAAATAAGAGGCTTAGCAACAACTAGAATCTGGTGTTTCCACTATACAGTATATGCAAAGTCTGACCAGCTTAAATCACCAAAGATGCTTTCATGTATAAAAAAAAACAAACAAAAAATGAACTCACCAATTTAAGCCGGACTGTGCAAACTGAACTGAGACATTACTTAATTTCTGAGCATTTGATCTTGAAACCCAAGTATTTTGTTAACATAGTTTGCATTTAATTAAGATGATAAAGGGTTTGCATAGTCAAAGCTGGACGCAGGTGTCAGTTGTTATAGCCAGAACCTGTGGGAGTTTTTCAGGTTCCTGCAACTCAAGCATCTAAGCTGACAGCACGTATGTTTAGCACAGCTGTGCCCTCCAAAGAGCATGTCAGACCTGCTCGGGGATCTCTGTAACTACCTACCTCATAGACCTGGTGATTTGAGGGAGAGGGGCATGGGTTTTCATTCTGTAGTGTACAAAAGCAGAGGGCCTGAAACCTAAGCTGGGCTCCCCACTGCTGTTGCTGTGCCTGCTCATCTGTCTCTATGCCACCCTCTAAGCACACCTGCAGACTGGAAAAAAAACCCCAAGGAAACATTAGATTCTTGTTTGCAACACAATGGCTTGTCGCTAATGAAGCATACAGATATTTAGTTGCCATTGCCCATCAACAGCATTCAAAAAGGATCCTCTACAAATGAATGATTATGGAGCCAGACCAACCTAATGAAGCGTTTGTGGATATGTGCACACCTGGATAACGAATGTTAAAGGAAGCCCAAGCCTTTCAGGCTTTGTCAACAGCAGGACACAGCATAGAAATTGATGCAGTGACAGCAAATAAGTACACACATTTATTATGGATGAGCCCTGTTGGTCTAAAAGCACCAGGCACACCTAGGATGCTATATGGAACTATGTATGATTGCCGCTTCATGCAATTAGTGAAGTGCAGCAGTTCAGCAATTATTTTCTCCCCCCCACCCCCTTCCCCAGTTTCACAATAAAGCAACATAACAGAACCAATTAGTTGCCCTATTGCCTTAGCACATACTCTGAGCTTATACAAATAAGTCAAAGGTACCTGAATAGATTCTTCCAATACTGCCACACATCCAACGGCAATTCATGATGAAGCCACATTTTAAGGCGGCAAATAATTATTAAATAAAATGTTTGTTTTTTTTAAAAAGGTCACACAAAACAAATCTTTATTCTTTGTTGCAGAAAATAAATACAGGTGCATATTTCATATGCTTTTCTATAAAAGCACTTCTACAAAATGTCACTGAACTGCATACAACAGTACAACCTTTTTGGCTTTTAAAATGCAAATATTATACAGTCACTTCATTTTATTAACTTTAAAGCACTTGTAGCAAGCAGCTTTGGAAAAAAAAAAAAAAAAGGAATGTTTAAGTTACGACCTAAATTCTTGCCTCAAGTGTTTTTTGTCATATATAGTGCAACTAACCTAAGCAACTAGAACAATTTTTTGTAAGATGCTTTTTTCCCCCCAAAAAACTGAACAAAAAATTGTTCTTGAAATCTGTTCTTGTATGAAATTTAAAAATCAAGAAAAAACCAACAAAAAATGGCTCAATACAATATGAAGGTGAGCATGATGCTTTACAGCTCATTTCCTGTACACTTCCAGTTTGGCCCATGGTATTTCCTTTAGTCTAAAAGAAGAGTTAATCATCCAGTCCTATATTTCTGAAGAGGTAAGACATAGACTCCCCGTTGTGGATTCTGCGAATTGCTTCTGAGAGGATCATACTGATATCCACAGTCTTAATTTTAGGGCACTGGAGTTTTTGTATTTCGTGTGGAATTGTGTTGGTGACAACGACCTAAGAAAGGAGAAGAAAGATATCATATTAGAAGTCAGTTCCCAGATATTTTCCATTCACCAGTCTCTTTTAAGAGAAGCTTATCCTCCAGATCCCAAGAGAGTGACCTGGGGTGCCCAACAGAATCCCAAAAGGTGACCCTGCTTCCTGTGCAACAGCCCTGCAAGAAGTTTGACATTGTAACTAGACTCCTACCAACCTTAATATTTAGACGCTAAAGAAAATCCTTTCCTCCGTTATCCTTTTGCATGCATCTGACATGACTCTATTACTTTCCATTAAAGGAGAAGTTCCCAATATCAACCCTGATCTGTCTAGGTTCTTATGCTTCACTCAATCTTCGCATGCTTGGAAAAAAGGAATGTTTAAGCCTTTAATCCATCAGGAAGATGGAAGCCAGGAACAGACAGCCCCAGGGCTGTTACTAAAAATATTATCGTTTCACATGAAAAAAAAAATAGTAAGAGCCTGGTTGGGACTTTAAAGCAGGCTGAATTTTCTGAACAGAAATCATCATTCTCCTGTGACTACGAACTCTGAAACCAGCATAGTCTGCCCACACTTACTTCATCGATAGCAGACTCCTCTATCAGCCTTGGAGCATCTGAAGAGAGCAGGCCATGGGTGGCCATTACAAAGATCTTGTACGCTCCTCTTTCCTTGAGCGTCTCGGCTGCGGCGAGGAAGCTATCAACATCATCTATGATATCATCCTGTCAAAACAAGATCAGGTCAATGAAAGACCCAGCACTTCCTCAAATCAGGGCTGAAACAAGACAAGATCCAGTATTATGCTTCTAGTACCGAGGCAGAAAATTTCTCGGTGTCACTGGCCTGCACACAGAGTACAAGCACGTTTATCAATAGTAAGCTTTGCTACCCATCATCATGGAGGCTTAAGGAACGATGTATTGGAGAGGAGAAACCGCAAGGTTTTACAGCGAGATAACCAAGGACTCTTCCCCTCCAAAAAATTATTTTGCATTAAAAGACCCAAATAGTTCTATTTCTTTAAAGCGGCTTTTAGAACAGTCTAAAAGCTCTTGGTTGGCACTTTTACCTGTGCCATGTATAAGTAGTCACAATGCCTTCTTCTTCCTGACTGATACAAGAATCCAGCTGATAATCTCTCCCCTTTACATGAACTCCCTTGGATGGAGTTCCAGCGGTCCCACTTCATACATACAGTCAGGGCCAGAGCTTACTTCTTGATGTGCATCACTGTATATCCTACAATTAAACTGCAGTGCTCTTTACTGAAGAACAAGGGTTTTTTTTAAACAACATGCAAGCGATATAGTACCATTCAGCCACACAGCCAGACCATATGAATGTGTGAAGGGAGACAAACACCGTATAACCCTAAACTCCATTAATAAATAAAGTAATAAATATTTCCACACAGCAGCTTAAAGGCAAGAATAAATTTTTATTTTAGAACTTAGAACTCACGTTCAAGTTTGGAGATGACACTAAGATGTGGGGAGAAGCGAGCACGCTAGAAAAGAGGGACAGGCTACAACTAGATCTGGACAGGTTACAGAGGTGGGCAGATGAGAACAGGATGGGTTTCAATACAGACAAGTGCAAGGTACTGCACCTGGGAAGGAAGAACTAGCAGCATACCTACAGGCTGGGGAACTCCCTCCTTGTCAGCAGAGAGGCAGAAAAGGAGCTTGGAGTCATTATTGATTCCAAGATGAACACAGGCTGCCAATGTGGGGATGCAGTCAGGAAGGCTAACTGCACCTTATCATGCATCCACAGATGCATCACAAGCAGGTCCAAGGAGCTGGAACCAATTTCCAAGGGAGGTGGTGCTTGCCCCTACCCTGGGGGTCTCCAAAAAGGAGGCTAGACAATCACTTAACCGAGGTCGTTTGACCCCAGCATCCTTTCCTGCCCATGGCAGGGGGTTGGACTTGATGATCTGCTTAGGTCCCTTCCGACCCTACCAACTATGAAATTTAACAGAATTAAAACCTTGATTTAAAATATATTAAGACAGATTCAGCCAGGAGAGAAACACTATGAATACAATCCTTTTGGCAAGATGAACTAGAATGAAATTTAGGCTAGATATCAGGAAAAACTTCTTCACAGTAAGGGTGGCCAAAGTTTGGAATGGGTTTCCAAGGGAGGTGGTGCTCTCCCCTACCTTGGGGGTCATTAAGAGAAGGCTGGACAGGCATCTGGCTGGGGTCATTTGACCCCAGCACTCTTTTCTGCCTAGGCAGGGGGTTGGACTCAATGATCTGTTGAGGTCTCTTCCGGCCCTAGCATCTATGAATCTATGAAAAATGGAATTAAACAGCCCAAAATGTGATTTTTCAGTGAAGCTGAGCTTCTCACAGTTTTGCTCAAGTTGATGAATCACTACACACGATGATACCAATGTGAAGCTCAGGAAAAATCTCATTCTTCTTTTAAATGTCTTCCAAACTGCTTTACTAATCTTAGATTAAGCCTAAATACTTCTGTGAAGCAAGCTGCACACCTTTCATGGGAATGGGCAGAGAATATTTCAACCCATAATTAACCATCCTTACAATGTAATTTCTCAGTGGATGTAATTTAAGAGAGCTTGTTGATGGTATAAGAAATGTAAGAGTTGGCTTAAACGGGCTTAGACTGTAAGCAAATACCTGAACAAGCCATGTTTTCACACTGGCTGAACTGTTACCAATACCAGATATAAAGACCAAACCATTTAGGAATGACCATTTCAATCATTTCCAACTTTAAACTCCAATGTTCATGACAGTTAAAGAGTTTTAAAAAACTAAATGGTATAACCTCAAAAGATTTATTTATATTTTAGGAACCAGAAAGATTGTTCTTGAGGTTGAAAAGCCTAGAATGCCTCTTCAAATATCCTTCTGACTTAACTTTTCAAAATAGGAGGATAGATTCTGTGTTGCTCTATCAGGAGTTTAAAGTTTCAGGTTGAACACAACCATCAATAAAATACACCAGGAAACCATGCCTCTTCTTTAAGTATACCCACAGATAGACATCCGTACGTGCATTCCCAGACTCAAACCTATTATTTGGACCAAGACATCTACTCACCACAATGATTGCTATTCTTCCTCCCACATCTCCAACCACTGTGATAGGTGGTTTTTCCTTTGGAATCAGCACTGAGGGGAAAAAGAAAGAGGCATGAAAAACTTCCACATCCTAAATTGATTAAGGGTTCTTGCTTTACACTTCTCATAGATAAAAAACAGAACAAATATCTCCACCATCACGGCTGTGTTTGCGCAGCAGCTGAGACTCTCACGTAAACTCTGCCTGGAAAGTATCAATGCATTAACTAAAAGGCACTTCAGATCCAAACCTGCCCCTATACAGAGGGGTACACATGCCCAGGGGTCTTCCCACAGAACTGCAAAATGACCAGAGCTTTAATACAGGTCTCCTCGATCGACTAATTGAGGCCATTCCATTTTGAAGGCAGTACAAGTGTGACAGTAAAATTTAAGTTACAAACATTCAGGCCTGGATTTCTTGGCACAATATTGCAATAACTTGGCCCTCTGCCTCCCACCACCCCCTCAATGCAATAGGATATTAGGGCGTTTCATTTATTCCCTTCCAACAAACTGGGAAGCTACTATCTACACATCCAATAGCTTTGGTTATTATGGAGCACAGACCAGTGGGGAAGACACAAGACTAACAGTCAGTAATCCAAATAGTGCTGAGCCAAGTCAAGTGATCTCATCTCCAAGCACCATTTTCCCCTGGATTCTCATGCGGATTTTATGAGACCTTGGAAGATTCTATCTTCATTTCTCCAGCTGTAAAATGGAAGTCAACTACCTCACAAGATGCTGGAAGGCTCAGCATCTGGAAAAGGGCTTTAAGAGCCTCAAGTGAAAGAGGCCATGTATGTGTCATAAGCCACTATCCCCAAGCAATACCATCTTTTTCAGCTTTCCCTTCAATTCCAGGACATTCTTGTTAAAAGCCAGAGACCATGCAAATCTGAGCCATGCAGCTTTAAATAAGGCTTAGTTTTGATCTGCATAGGGTGCTTCCCCGCCCCCGCATCCCGACAGCTCCTCAGTCCTCATACAGGGAACCACAAGAACTGGGTACATAAGTTTACTCTAGTTGAGATGGGACAAACTGATGCATTATAATAATTTTAGCGGTGGTATGACATCGTCCTCAGCCACTGTATCTTGGGCATATTTGAAATCCTCCTATTTCTTTGTAAATTTAACCCATCCCAAACTTGTAGTTCTTTTGACACAAGTGACACCTACTGGTGAATATTTTTATGGTACGCTCTTTCATTAAAGTCACACTCTGCAAAGACAACTAACTTATTTATGTAACAAGATGCTGCAGATGCAGTATTTCGGGGATTTAAGCTAAGGTGTCATTTTGGGATAGGCTTAAAACGGATCATACGTTTATTTTTGCCTCTCCACAAGATGACCTTTCACTATGAAATGTCAAGTCTTTAAAAAAATAAAATAAAATAAATTAGGAATTATAACCTTGTCATAAGAAGAAACCAAAGAAAGATACTAGGGGCATTTGCCACCGATGATTTTCAACAGATAACTTGCATCCAACTTTCTTGTCAACAAGTATTTAAAAAAAAAAAAAAAAACCCGAACGGTGTTCATACAACAGAAGTCCTCAGCAGGTTTGGCATTTAGGTAGTTAGGTGTATTTGGCGTTTAATACGTTTTTAGGACCCAGGGCAATTTTTTTCATTATTTACTGTAAGCAAAATACTATGCAAATGGGTAACCAAACACTCATAATACATAAAATCCTTTCCTCAAGAGAACACCCTTTTCCTCTTGCAACTAATTATATTTATTTAAATCAGCTTTTAATTGCTAAGTAGCTATGGCTGCCTATAGATAGTCTGTCAGCAGCTGCTCTTTGTGATATGCTTCCAGAAACCATACCTCCTGCGGGTTTGCCCCTGATCCCTTATTTACCACCCAAACATTAAAAAGCCTCAAAAGATAACATACAAAAATGCTGTGGAATGGTCACGGTTCCTAGAGATGACAGACGAAACAAAACCACAAAAGCCAATGTGAAATGTATAAAACAAGCTACTTAGTTTGGTGAAAAAGATATAGGGTATATTGTAGAGAGACACCTCAATTACTACCACAACTACTATATTCTGCAGCCTTAAGGAGCTTTAGTAGAAGCCATTTTTAGTGGCTCAGCTTTGTCATTGGAAGAGGAGCTTTTCTAACATTTTTCCCCAACAGAGTTGGCCCAATAGAAGAAATAAACCTTGCTTCCCATAGTCCCAGAACCATCCCAGCTAGTACACAACTCCATTAGGGCAAACTCCTCCTTCCCCTTATTCAGCCATCACAAACATTCACCCCCAGCTGGTAAGTACTGAGGAAGGATTGTGTAGCTTGTGAGCAGTAAGGAGGACCAAGGTGGAAGAATTATAAATGCAGTCTGGGCCATTCTTCGTTTCTGAAAGGTTGCTACATAAAACAAAACTCTAAAGTCACAGGGCAGTATCTTATCATCTGGCTCATGCTCCCTTCCTAAACTGATTGGGTAAAGGTCCATTCATTTCTCTTGCATGGAGCTAGGAAAGAAGAGAGAAGGTTTAACTACTGCTAAAAATGCTTCACACAAAAACTTAGGCTGTGCCGTCAGTGCAGAAGGCTTATGTGGCAGCAAAATCTTGGAGCAAGGGAGCTCACGTACACCGGCTGTCCAGTTCAGTGTGCACATACACCCAGACCATAACAGTATGTACATGACAAAGCTCTGCCACTACATTTACTTCATCTAGGAAAGTGAAAACCATGTCACACTATAATGCCAGTACAAGATTGAATGAATAAGTAAATCAATATATTATGTAGTTCTTCAGGCATCTTTTTGTTACATGTCTCTGTCTCCACTAGGGGGCTCAGTCAACACAGCTGCAGCTACAGAGCCTCTTCTAGCAGACACAAACCTCACTGGGAAAACTTAAAAAAAAACCACCAGACCCACATGGCTGCAGTAAGTAGGTACCATGGGCAAAGAGGATGAAAGAGGTCATTCTTCACTAGTGTACTGGCAAGACCCATCCCTTTCTAGCCATTTAGTCAAAAAAACCCATATGTTAGTAGTTACTTGTACAAACTTACTTACTGGGCATCTCCAAACTGGGATGGATTGCAGCTACGCTTTTGGCCGTAGGAGGAGAGTGTCGACCATCCACCATATCAGACTCAGCATCTTGAGCTTCCCCATGAATGACAGCAATTCCCAGCCTCAAGCGCTCAGCAAACGACTGTGCCCTAAAGAAAAGAAAATGCACTAGAATTAATGTCAGACAAGGTTCTTTGGGTAAATCTGATATCTTTTATTAGACCAACTCAAATTAGTTGGAAAACATTGTTCTTAGCAAGATTGAGTTACTAAAATTAAAATAACCCCTATGCACACAACACAAATCATCGTGAATTCTAGATACTAAAAGGGGAAAAAAGGCAAGCAATTCTTGTAACGGAGGAAAAGGCGCACACTGACATCTTTCTT